TTGATCATCTTGACATCAAGATGTATGGACATGAGAAAAAAATAGATTGCAAGTTTTGGAAATAGTGTATTTTGTAACGCATTTTTTTTACTGTCAATTTTCAAGATTTTCAAGTTTTCATAGATATGTCGATCTACACTAAGTTTGAAGCTTTAAACTTTATAAATAAATATAAAAATATATTTTAAGGCTATCATAAAGATTTTCAATATTGAAACCACATTTCTCGACACTATTGAAGGTAGGCTCTAATTTGATTGTTTAGAGCCTAGGCTTAAAATTTTAGGAGTGATACTTTGTATGAAGGGCCCGGTTTCTACGCGGCCAAGCCCACATATGTAGAAATGCAGGCCTAATAATAAATCTATTTTTGAGATGGATTTTTGGATTTAATTTTTAAGGGTATGTAATCTCTAACCTGGAGATATGAATATGAAAAAAATAAGTAAATTTTAAAACTAAAAATAATAATTCTAGTAAGAAAACATTAGCACCGTTAGTTTTCGTTGATTTTAGATGGAACACCCACTTGTTATCCATTTTTAAGATGGATGCTTTACACTTTTTGGACCAGTCATGCGGTCCAGCCCGCATGAGATAATTTTCCTTGTATTAACGCTCTCTCTCGTTCTCTTAACCGTTATTTTAAGGGAAAGTTTTCTATGTTCCCTCTACAAAATAGAAGTTCAATCCTCCCCTTACCATCCAGCCGTCCATTTTTTATCAAGAGAGCCACTCACTGTTTGATTTTAGATCCGACGTTTTAAAGTATTTTATTTTTAGTTTTTTTAATACAATCTTTATGAATATGAAATTTATTACGTTCCATCTTCTCATTGGGGCATAACTATAAAAAAATATTAACAATAATTTTTCGATAAAAAATAACGACGAAAATACCCCTTGAAACTTTTGAGGGTATTTTGGTCATTTTATTTTATTGAAAATATTTTTTTTATATTTTTCGTTAGTGCGAGTTTAATAGAAGAATGGACGTCCAAAATTTGGTGTCAAAACAGTTTATAGAAAAATTATTAAAAATAAAACAGTGTGGAGACCTGACATTGTGATTGGGATAATTTTAACTCTTCAATAAAAAATGGACTGTTGGATAAAAGGGAGGATAGAACTTCTATGTTGTAGGGAGAACATAGAAAGCTTTCCCTTATTTTAATCCAAGCCTCTCTTTTTCTCATTCTCTCTAAAACTTTTTGGAAGTGCTTAATTTTGCTCTCATTCTATTTCCAAAACTTTTCTCTCAACACATCCGTTTTGCTCCATCATTTTTTCGTAGGTTTCTCTCTGTAAATTTGTTTCCAAAGCCGAAACTTTTGATTTGAATTTTAGTGCTTCTCTCACCATTAAGCTAAAAGGTGCTTAGTGTAAGAGAGAGCAAGTTTTAGACAGGGATAGAGGCATAAAATGCTGCTCATATTGAAGTAATGGGTATTCTATTCCCTAGAGGGCTTTTTTTTGGGTAAGATTTTAATATTTTTTCTACTGTATAAAGTTTATATACTTCCTCGATCTAACTGTCCGTTCTGAATAAATGGCTGAGATGGTCCAAATCACAAAAAACGCCTCTACATTATTTTATTTTTAATTATTTTTCTACAAAATATTTTGACACCAAATTTTGGGCGTCCACTCCTCTATTAAACTCGTACGTGTAAAAAATATAAAAATAATATTCCCAATAAAATAAATACTAAAAATTAATATTTTGTTTTAGGTGCATCCCATTAAGATGATGGCACGTACCAAATTTCATATTTATGTAATTTGTAAAAAAATAAAAATAAAATACTCTAAGACATCTGATCAAATTCAAACGGCCAATGGCTCACTTCATCTAAATTAGACTCCTCCATGGTGGGCGATGGAGGGATAAGAGAGAAAAAAATGATAATATATGTCATGAAACCATTTACTTTTAATACACAGATGTCACAATTATCGTCCATAAGATGTAAAATCATATGGTTGGGGACGTATCATTAATTGGGCATAAAATCCAAAATAAATTTTTTCAAATATGGTAACACACTTCAATCTATAAGATTTCACATTCAATGACTAAAAGTGGTAATGACTTTGTAGAAGGAGGGAAGAAATCATAAATTAACCCTCTTAGAACTTTTAACTCATTATTAGTGTCTTTTGATGGAATTTTTGAAATTAAATATGGATACTTTGAATTAAATTATAGAAAATGGGTTAAATGCTAGAGATTCTTATCTTGGTTACTTTTCTGGTAAAATTCTTTTAAAAATAGTTATTGGCAATTGTTCCAATTTATCAATTTTATTTTTCTACCTTACCAAATGTAATTCAATGCAATTAGATTCATGTATAATTTACCACTTCTATTTATTTTCTTTTCTTTTCATTTGGAAATTTTCATGTCATCTTTGATTTACCATGTGAACAATTTAGGCAAAAAAAAGATAATGAACCTATAAAAAATTAAATACTTAGTGGGAACTGATCAATAGCAATTTATAACCTCTAAATCACACACAAACATTTTAGGAGTGGTGGTCTCGAAAAACCACCAACCAACCGAAAGAAAAGAAAGCAAGGGTTCAATACACCTGAAGGGGCCGTTTGGATACCTGGAAATATATTTTCTGTGAAATATATTACTGGTGTAATACATTACTGCGTAATATATTACTTAGAAATGGATTGTTACTGTTTGG